TCATGAATGCGGAGTGAAGAAAAGAGGGGAGTTATAGAGTGACCCTAAAAGAACACACTAGGCTCTAGCTATGGTGAGCCTGAAAGAGACAGAGCATGCCAGCAATATCACAGACGTTAACTCACTGCAGACAGACACACTATTGCTCCGACACGCCATTTCTACGCTACTCCACAGGTCACCCAGATATGTCCAATGAACTTCCACCATTTCTACGGTACACGTTCTAAAGGGGCACAAGGCTGCCAACAAGAGAATCTACGCTACACGTTACAAAGGGGCACAAGGCTGCCAACAAGGGAATCTACGCTACACGTTACAAAGGGGCACAAGGCTGCCAACAAGGGACATATATAAGTTCAGCCATTTTTATAATAATATTCATCATCTCCCTTTCACTAGTAAATCAATGAACTAATATTCCTAATCTCCCTTTCACTAGTAAATCAATGAACTAATATTCCTAATCTCCCTTTCACTAGTAAATCAATGAACTAATATTCCTAATCTCCCTTTCACTAGTAAATCAATGAACTAATATTCGTAATCTCCCTTTCACTAGTAAATCAATGAACTAATATTCCTAATCTCCCTTTCACTAGTAACTCAATGAACTAACACTGTTTTTACAAGCGGTTTTTTTCAAGTTATCAACGCATTTACGGAAAATAAAACAAAATGGCGGTGTCCAGGAGATATCAGATATTCACCGTGTTCAATGGCCTTGGCATAGTGACGGTTATTTGTTGTAGTGTGACTTGTTGCTATATAATGTCAGTGCATTATTACATATAGCTTGACATAGTGATGGTTATTCGTTGTAGTGCGACTTTCTGCTATATAATGTCAGTGCATTATTTACATATAGCTTGACATAGTGATGGTTATTCGTTGTAGTGTGACTTTCTGCTATATAATGTCAGTGCATAACGGGAGTTCATTTTCTGAGTAAGCGTAAGGATAATTTGTTCCAATGTGACTTTCTGCTATAACGGGAGTTCATTTTCTGAGTAAGCCTCTCTTGTCACATCACAATTATAGAACTGTACCAGAATGGTTAGTTTATTTTTATCTGATGGATCATTTTCACTTCTAAAACGCTCGTGTTCTGGTTCCTAGAACAAAAAACGATTTCGTTCTATCTGTTCAACTAGTTTTTATGGGCTCCTAAAATATGCTAAATTCCATGCGTTTGCAGCGTATTTAAGTGTCCCTTACCCAGCATCTGCAATGAATTAACGAATATGAAATGAGGAAGGGAAGAAGAAGAGTGATAAATTGATCCTAAAAAAACAAACACTTGGGTTCTTGTGACAATAAGCCTGCAAGCGACAAAGTAAAGCCAAGTTATCGGGCGTACACAAATTTTCCACCACCGCTGTTGAATATGAAATGAAGATGAAGAGTTGTAAATTGATCCTAAAATAACAAACCTGGGTCTCGCAACGATAAGCCTGCAAGCAACAAGGCAAAGAGGAGTGATCAGGCAAAGAGGAGTGATCAGGCAAACACAAATGTTCCATCACCGCTGTTCATGGATATGAGATGAAGATGAAGATGAGAGTTATGAAGTGATCTTAAAATAACAAACTTGGGTCTTGTGGCAATAAGCCTGCAAGCAACAAGGCAAAGCGTAGTTATGGGACACATACAACTATTCCATCACCGCTGTTGTGAACAACTGTGATCAAAACCTGGTTGCAAGAAGCTGTACCTACTCAGAAGTAAGATCAGGAAAAGACCATACGACTTGGCCACTTCAGTAGACTACTCAGAAGTAAGATCAGGAAAAGACGACTTGGCCACTTCAGTAGACTACACAGAAGTAAGATCAGGAAAAAACAATACGACTTGGCCACTTCAGTAAAGACTTGTCCACCATTTCACAGAAAGAAAGCAATGAAGAGTGGAGGTCGTTGCTTGTTCTCATTTTGAATTAGACCTTAACTCAAGACAACACAACTTTGGGAATGGTGTTAAATCCCTTCCCCCATTTGCTTGGTCAGCTGTAGACATTTTTCACGCTCTGTCAACTCATTGTGCCCCCTGCTTTATCCCCCTGCTTTATCCCCTACGTTTGTGCAATTTCATATTTTCTACTTACAAGTTGGGGGTGGAGATTAAAGCTACAGCTAGAGAACTATTCCCAGAATGACGTTAATATACAGTCACTGAGAATCCAAATGGAACACTCAACTTTTTAGAAAATTTTAATTTTTCAACACAAACTCAAACCACAGTCTATTTTCCCACGGCGCTGTGAACCCAAAACTAACAACACCCAACGTAATTCTGTCCACTCACGTGAACGCCTGACACATGCTGAAGAGAAAAATCTGTGGCCACGTAGCCAAGACAAATGAGCAGCCCTTCCACGTAGCCAGGACAAATGAGCAGCCCTTCCATGTAGCCAGGACAAATGGGCAGCCCTTCCACATAGCCAGGACAAATGGGCAGCCCTTCCACGTAGCCAAGACAAATGAGCAGCCCTTCCACGTAGCCAGGACAAATGGGCAGCCCTTCCACGTAGCCAAGACAAATGAGCAGCCCTTCCACGTAGCCAGGACAAATGGGCAGCCCTTCCACGTAGCCAGGACAAATTGGCAGCCCTGCCACATAGCCAGGACAAATGGGCAGCCCTTCCACGTAGCCAAGACAAATGAGCAGCCCTTCCACGTAGCTTTGCTGTGATATAGAACAGTGTCTCCTAGCTCTGCTGTGATATAGAACAGTGTCTTCCAGCTCTGCTGTGATATAGAACAGTGTCTCCCAGCTGTGATATAGAATAGTGTCTCCAAGCTGTGATATAGAACAGTCTCCCAGCTGTGATATAGAACAGTGTCTCCCAGCTGTGATATAGAACAGTGTCTCCCAGCTGTGATATAGAACAGTGTCTCCCAGCTGTGATATAGAACAGTGTCTCCCAGCTGTGATATAGAACAGTGTCTCCCAGCTGTGATATAGAACAGTTTTTCCCAGCTGCGATATAGAACAGTTTCTCCCAGCTGTGATATAGAACAGTTTCTCCCATTGTTTCTCTCAGCTGTGCTGGAGTCAACATCTGTCTCTGGCTTCTCCCCACCATCAAGTACATAAATATAGATATACAAAACTGGCACAGCACAGGACAGTGGAAAACATGTCCGTGTTATGGCACAACAGAGACACAAAGTTTCCACAAGACATTTCCTCCACTTTGAAGCATCCAACAGTTTGCCTGCACACATGTCCTTCCACCAACGCCTCAACGTTTACATTTTTGTAAGAATATCATGGAGCATCTGGAATACTTCAATACAACGACATTTCATGAACAAGAACATTTCAGGAACAACAACTTCATTTACTTTTTGCTTTGCCAGTGATTCCAGGAACAGCAGCTTTGACTTTTGAGCACTGTGTTGGATGCCAGTTGAAATGTATTTCTAATGAACATGAATCTCTACCCAAGTGTCTCTTTCTGCAACCACTGACGGCTGATGAGAAAACTCCAGTACTAGCCAACCATTCGGGAGTTGATCAACACAGCTAAACTTTGGTAGAATCCAGGCCCTCCCTTCTGTCTTCCTATTGCACAATTTGAGTATTTTAGAAAAAAACAGACAAAAATCGTCTTTATTTTCTTACTGCCTAGAACTGTATCTGACTCTATCAATTCATTGATTAACTTTTATACTTAACGACTGGACTTTTGAAAAGTATTTTTTAAGGGGTGGGTGGGTGGGAGAGATGTCCAGCACTATATTTATCAACATATTGTTGTATCGGCACAACAAGCATTGAGAGCAGAAGCAACTATAGCGCCAACTGGCACACAATGAGCTCAAACGGTTGGAAAGATTTCAAAACTGGAGCATAGGAGCGGCTTTGACAGCTTTCCGATGAGATTTTTTATGACAAGAAACAGAGAGTAAAATAACATGACCACATTTCCATTCTGAGGAGGGACAAGACATTCACATCCTGTCTAAAACTTGAAAGATCAAATTAGTTTGGAAAAAAGAGTTATGAATGAAATAAGTCGAAGCGCCCGAGGTGATGGGATGACTATGATGCCACAAGGGTAACAAACAAGAGTATTGTCAAAGCAAGCTTATCAACAGAAATTTGTCTCATTCTTATCAAAACAGTACACTTCATCCAATTATTGTTCCTCTCAGGTATCTTTTCCAAATTTCCCTTCCTAGGAACAGTTGAGGGACCAGATAGAGTTTTGTCACAATTCTTCTTCTTCTTCTATCCCGTGGTTGGGGCAACCGTGGGGTCAACACTGCATCTGTAAACCAGCTCTCGCCATTTTTCTTGTGTCACAAAACACAATCAAAGAATCCCTCCACCCATCAGACCTCAAAATAGTGAATAGTGCGAGCAAGCAACAGACAGAAGCATTTGATCACAAAATATATGAGAAGCTTTTTAAACCTTTTGAACAAAACTTTAAAAGTACACACCCCAAAATCATTGCTTAGGCCCTTTTCTGTGGTGCATAAAAACCCTGCGATAATTTCAGCTCTGTACCGTTACCAAGTACCGTTACCAAGTACTCTGACATTCAAGTTCAGCAGCAATCAACAATATTCCCTTATCAAATGGGAAAAACAACGGGGAAGCATGGGAAGGCATGCATGGGCCCATGGGCTGATGCTGGTGGGGAAATAAAAAACAAAAGTCTGTGTCTTTTCTCTGGTGGACTGGAAGAGACGTGGGAAAGAGAGAAAGTGTGAGTGAAAAGAGGGAAAGGAGAGAGAAAAACTTTCTGTTTCTTTCAGGAGGAGAACTCTTCAAAGTTCTGGTGTTCTACTGTAGGATTTATCTTGTGCTTCTTTCCCAAAGAAAAAAAATATAGGTTCATCTTTTTATGTCACCGCTGTGTTGTTGCACGGTGAGGAGTTGACTGGAAGAAAAGGACGATGGTTTGAGCATCACCAGCATTTCTCCCTGTAGTCTCTAAGTTTAAGCACAACAATGAAAAAAAAAAGGGTTTTCAAAAAAGTACTCACCGAGCCCGAGCGGGATGAGGTAGCAGCGGAGGTTGAGGAAGATACCACTGCTACTCCAGGGGACGAGCTCACACTGACACCGCTGGGAGCAGGAAGAGGAAGAGAATCCGAGAGAGACAAAGTATCCATCGCTACACCGGGCACCACAGCACCAGCCACAGTGTCTGCGCTCTGAGGCGCGGGCTGGGGGCCCACAGATGGCAGTGAGTCTGTGGTGGCCATGATGGTCGGTAGGTGGGCCTGAGAGGTGACCGTAGCCACGGAGGAGAAGGATGCCGACGAGGTGACTAGAGGCATCGTTGCCGTGACCACCACCGAGGTAGTGACGGCCAGGGGGCGGGATGGTAAGGGCGAAGAGCTCGTGTCTATCGCAGCCAGCGAGGGGGACAGAGCGGCCAGCGATTCTGTCTGAACGTTGGACGGGGGTTCTTGCTTCACGACCGCCAGGTTCGGTTCTTGTTTGATGAACGTCCCGCCCAGAGTGCTGATCTTTTGGTTCTTCAACGGCAGGCGTGGACTTTGACCGCCGGCCGTACTGGACGACTGTAACTGTCCGACCTGCGCGAAGGTGATGGCAGACCCACTCATGGTCGAGGCTGTGGTGAAGACAAGCTGGCTGCTGGTCACAGTGTGACCCGCCTCCACTTTGGCCAAGGCTTGACCGCCCACGGCCGCCGAGGCAGCAGCCACAGTGACCCGCGGAGAGTTTTTGATGAGAATGTGGTGGCCCCCGGTGTGTGCGTTGCTGGTGATGAGCAAGTTCTTCTGGGACAAAGTGTTGGGGGTCAGTTTGAGCTGGGTGCCCCCCGAGGTCGTCAGACTACCCAGACTGAGCGCTTGCTGCGGATGACCTTTGATGTGTACCGTGGTGCTGGAGGCGGGGAGGGCGGCGGCTGGCTTAGCCGAGATGTCCAGCGTGGCCCCCACCCCTGCTGCTGCCTGAGAGGTCACCACTGGTTTGACCTGCGGAGACGTGAGGCCCCCCGTACCCCCACCGGCAGACTGCTGCAGGATCAGGCGCTGACCGTTGGGCGAGACGACATACACCTGTCCGTTGGCCGTGATCAACCTCTGCTGGGGGCTGAGAGTGACCTTCTGACCTTTAGCGTTGGTTAGTTGAGCTGCCGGCGGTTGTTGGAGACTTGTGTTGTTATTGGCTTGCATGGCCACCACAGGCTGTTGCTGCTGCTGCTGCTTCAGCTTGGACTTGGAGCTCTTCGACTTGCTCTTTGCTGGCGGTGGCTTTGGTTTGGCGGGGGGCACGGGGGTCACAGAGGGGGGCGGCGTGGTCACGGCCGCTAGACACTCGCCGGGGTTGTCAAAGAACCCGAAATCGTCCTCGAACGACCTGAGGTCAATGTCAGACAAGGACAGCGCCTGCTCCAGAATGTTGCTTTGGTTCTTGCCCCCCGAGCCACACAAGTCGGCCATGAGATCGTTGGTGGGTGTCGGGGTGCTGGACGGAGGGGTTGGGGTGGAGGAGGCAGAGTTGGCGGTAGGCGTGGGCGTGCGGGCCACAGACTTGTGCTGCTGGACCAGCCGCTGTGGCTGAGTGCTCAGGTTGGTCACGCTGCCTGCCTGGGACGGAGAAGCTGTCGCGATCTTCTGCTGAAACACAACCTGCTGCTGCTGCTGCTGTTGTTGTTGCTGCTGCTGCTGCTGCTGACCACCACTGTGCTGGATGAGCAGCTGCTGGTTGTTGGATTGGAACTGGGCGGCTCGGCTGACGGACGGGTTGACACTGGCCAGCGTGACTATGCCCTGAGTGTTGGGCTGCACCTGGAGTTGGGACAGGCCGCCCAGCGGGCCCAGGTTAAGCATCTGTCCGTTGACCAGGATACTTTGGCCGGGGACCAAGCCAGCTATCTGGTTATTGGAGTTGGGGATCACACCCTGGTTGCCAATCAAGTTCATGATGGTGTTTGGGTTCACCTGCACAGGAAACAACAAGGTTTTTGGTGGGGGGTTCTAAGTAAGTATTTTAAGGCTCTTGCAACATAATTAGCTCATATAAATGCCGAAGAGTAGAGGTGTTACAAGAGTTACCACCACAAAAAAGGAGGAGAGATAAGAACAAAAAGATGTTTGATAGGAAAGAAAGAGCAAACCACACCAGAGCCCCCGCCAAACACCCGTGAATACAAGAAGAGAATAGCTGAGGGTGTGGAAAAACACTTTGAAGAAAACACTGTAACATAATCATGGGGTTTACTAGTAAGGAAAACACTGTAACATAATCATGAGGTTTCCTAGTAAGGAAAACACTGTAACTGTAACATAATCATGAGGTTTGCTAGTAAGGGAGGTTTGCTAGTAAGGAAAACACTGTAACTGTAACATAATCATGGGGTTTGCTAGTAAGGAAAACACTGTAACTGTAACATAATCATGAGGTTTCCTAGTAAGGAAAACACTGTAACATAATCATGAGGTTTCCTAGTAAGGAAAACACTGTAACATAATCATGAGGTTTGCTCATAAGGAAAACACTGTAACTGTAACATAATCATGGGGTTTGCTAGTAAGGAAAACACTGTAACATAATCATGAGGTTTGCTAGTAAGGAAAACACTGTAACTGTAACATAATCATGAGGTTTGCCAGTAAGGAAAACACTGTGACATAATTATGGGGTTTGCTCATAAGGAAAACACTGTGACATAATCATGGGGTTTGCTAGTAAGGAAAACACTGTGACATAATAATAATTATGGTCACTTAGCATTAAGAAAAAGACTTTTTGTTTCGTAAGAGTTTTCCGACCCTTGCAACACAATTAGGTCATGTGAATGCTGAGTGTCGAAGGTAATGGTTGGTCCTCCAGAGTGACATACAAAGAAGAGAAGTCGTCGACAAATGGTGACATACAAAGAACAGAAGTCGTCGACAAATGGTGACATACAAAGAACAGAAGTCGACAAATGGTGACATACAAAGAAGAGAAGTCGTCGACAAATGGTGACATACAAAGAACAGAAGTCGTCGACAAATGGTGACATACAAAGAACAGAAGTCGACAAATGGTGACATACAAAGAACAGAAGTCGACAAATGGTGACATACAAAGAAGTCGTCGACAAATGGTGACATACAAAGAACAGAAGTAGTCGACAAATGGTGACATACAAAGAAGTCGTCGACAAATGGTGACATACAAAGAACAGAAGTAGTCGACAAATGGTGACATACAAAGAAGTCGTCGACAAATGGTGACATACAAAGAACAGAAGTAGTCGACAAATGGTGACATACAAAGAACAGAAGTTGTCGACAAATGGTGACATACAAAGAACAGAAGTCGTCGACAAATGGTGACATACAAAGAAAAGTAGTCGACAAATGGTGACATACAAAGAACAGAAGTCGACAAATGGTGACATACAAAGAACAGAAGTCGACAAATGGTGACATACAAAGAGCAGAAGTAGTCGACAAATGGTGACATACAAAGAGCAGAAGTCGACAAATGGTGACATATTCTCTACCTTCCTAATAGAAAAAAAAAAAAAATCCCTATGTGTAATGGCAAAATTTCCTCAATACAACTATAACAAGTTTAATTTATCTTTGAGCAAAACCCAACTGGCGTTGGTAGACTACTGGTTAGGCTCTCGGACTCACAACCGTCAGGTCTGGGGTTCGAATCACGTCAGGGGTCCAACGTTGTGTACTTGGGATAGGCACTTTACACGAATTTTCTTCAGTCCCACCCTGGTGGGAATGGGTACCCAGCTACATACAGCAAAAGATCTTGTCGGTTTGTCAGTATTTAAGCGCGTAACCAGCTGCTTATACTATATGCTTCCAGGGAAGCCGAGAAAGTTTCTGAGTGTTCCAGGGTCTGCTGGGGTGATAATATAGTGTAAAGCGCATAGAGCCTGCTGTTGAGCGGGGTACGCGCTATACAAATGCTATTTATTAGTATTATAATTAACTAAATAAAGAAAGAAAACAAAGTTTTCCAAGAGCCAAGAACCCTAGAGCCGTGTGTTTTGAGGCAGACAAGAACAGTGCACCCCTCACCTGCTGCGGCCCGACAGCACTCTGGTTTATGGGTGGCTGCGCAATGAGCTGCACCTGGTTGCCTTGGTTACCGGCAGCGTTGACCACTTGGAGGCCCGTGCCGGACGAGGTGATGAGGGTGGGCTGGGACTGCAGCAACTGGCCCGCTACGTTGCCCTGACCGTTCTGATACTGGGGGAGACAGTTTGTATGTTTGAGTTGTCCTGACCGTTCTGATACTGGGGGAGACAGTTTGTATGTTTGAGTTGTCCTGACCGTTCTGAAACTGGGGGAGACAGTTTGTATGTTTGAGTTGTCCTGACCGTTCTGATACTGGGGGAGACAGTTTGTATGTTTGAGTTGTCCTGACCATTCTGATACTGGGGGAGACAGTTTGTATGTTTGAGTTGTCCTGACCGTTCTGATACTGGGGGAGACAGTTTGTATGTTTGAGTTGTCCTGACCGTTCTGAAACTGGGGGAGACAGTTTGTATGTTTGAGTTGTCCTGACCGTTCTGATACTGGGGGAGACAGTTTGTATGTTTGAGTTGTCCTGACCGTTCTGATACTGGGGGAGACAGTTTGTATGTTTGAGTTGTCCTCACCGTTCTGATACTGGGGGAGACAGTTTGTATGTTTGAGTTGTCCTGACTGAATACTGGGGGAGACAGTTTGTATGTTTGAGTTGTCCTGACCGTTCTGATACGAGGGGGGGGGGGGGACAGTTTGTATGTTTGAGTTGTCCTGACCGTTCTGATACTGGGGGAGACAGTTTGTATGTTTGAGTTGCCCTGACCGTTCTGAAACTGGGGGGAGACAGTTTGGAATGTTTGGGGTTGTCCCTGGCCGTTCTGGATACCAAGGGGGGGGGGGGGGGGGGGGGGGGAGACAGTTTGTATGTTTGAGTACAGGGAAGCACACCCACACAATAATGAAGGTCATTTACAACAGAGATAAGAATTTGTCTGGGGTTTTAGTACCAGTTGTACCACACTTGCAATTGTACCATTTTCATACTTTCCTTACAACAACAGAATATTTACACAATAACAGACACTTTTCTTACAAAAACAAATCTTTTCAAACCTTTTCATAATGACCCGAGACACTCTTCTTACATTACAAAAATCTTTTCACAATGACATGACACAACGGTACTCACAATGACAGGACACAGCTGTACTCCCAATGACAGGACACAGCTGTACTCACAATGACAGGACACAGCTGTACTCACAATGACAGGACACAACTGTACTCACAATGACAGGACACAGCTGTACTCACAATGACAGGACACAACTGTACTCACAATGACAGGACACAGCTGTACTCACAATGACAGGACACAGCTGTACTCAAACTGTATGTTTGAGTACAGGGAAGCACACCCACACAATAATGAAGGTCATTTACAACAGAGATAAGAATTTGTCTGGGGTTTTAGTACCAGTTGTACCACACTTGCAATTGTACCATTCTCATACTTTCCTTACAACAACAGAATATTTACACAATAACAGACACTTTTCTTACAAAAACAAAACTTTTCAAACCTTTTCATAATGACCCGAGACACTCTTCTTACATTACAAAAATCTTTTCACAATGACATGACACAACGGTACTCACAATGACAGGACACAACTGTACTCCCAATGACAGGACACAGCTGTACCCACAATGACAGGACACAACTGTACTCACAATGACAGGACACAGCTGTACTCACAATGACAGGACACAGCTGTACTCACAATGACAGGACACAGCTGTACTCACAATGACAGGACACAACTGTACTCACAATGACAACTGTACTCACAATGACAGGACACAGCTGTACTCACAATGACAGGACACAACTGTACTCACAATGACAGGACACAACTGTACTCACAATGACAGGACACAGCTGTACTCACAATGACAGGACACAGCTGTACTCACAATGACAGGACACAACTGTACTCACAATGACACAATGTCAATTGTACTCACAATGACAGGACACAACTGTACTCACAATGACACAATGACAGGACACAACTGTATTCACAATGACACAATGACAGGACACAACTGTACTCACAATGACACAATGACAGGACACAACTGTACTCACAATGACAGGACACAGCTGTACTCACAATGACACAATGACAGGACACAACTGAACTCACAATGACACAATGACAGGACACAACTGTACTCACAATGACAGGACACAACTGTACTCACAATGTCATGACACAACTGTACTCACAATGACAGGACACAACTGTACTCACAATGACAGGACACAACTGAACTCACAATGACAGGACACAACTGTACTCACAGTGTCAGGACACAACTGTACTCACAATGACAGGACACAACTGTACTCACAATGACAGGACACAACTGAACTCACAATGACAGGACACAACTGTACTCACAGTGTCAGGACACAACTGTACTCACAATGACAGGACACAACTGTACTCACAATGTCAGGACACAACTGTACTCACAATGACACAATTGTACTCACAATGACAGGCGATATGTTGGACTGCAGCGGACGCAGCACCACGTTCTTCTGCAGGCCCCCCTGTGGCGTGGTTGGCTGTCGCGGGATGACCGTCTGTCCCTGTGGCAGCAAAATCTGGCGTGGCGCGCTGGAGGAGGAGGGCACGATGGTGTGGGTGGCCTGGGGCAGGCTGGCACGGATCACGTTGCCCACGGCACCCGAGGCCGGGTTGATCAACTGTGTCCCGACCAG